GATAGATAGATAGATAGATAGATAGATAGATAGATAAGTCAAGTTGAACCAGGAGATGCTGAATCATGCTTATAACCCTAGCTACATAAAAGGTTGAGATCTGAGGACTGGGGTACAAAACCAGCCTGGGCAAAAAAAGTCCTTGTGAGGCTCTTATCTCCAATAACTATGGCTCAAAGTGATAGAGCATTAGCCTAGAGAAAAAGAGCTCAGGGAGGGCATCAAGGCCCTAAATTCAAGCCCCATAACCAACAAAAACTAATAATTGCATTAATTAAGAAGAAAGGAAGACAGAAAGATAGAAAGACAGAAAGACAGACAAAAGAAAGAAAGAGGGAGAGAGAGAGAGAAAGAAAGAAAGAAAGAAAGAAAGAAAGAAAGAAAGAAAGAAAGAAAGAAAGAAAGAAAGAAAGAAAAATGTTGCTAGCTACCCAAGAAGATATTCAAAAATCATATAAAATTTAATATTTATCATTAAGGATCATTGAATTTCATATTAAACCCCAAATGAAACAGTCTTACACAAATACTTAAAGAACTTCATTTATGATTAAATAAGTTCTATCATAAAATGGCACAAGTAAATTGGGGTATAAATAAATTTAGAATATTGAGAGCTTTAAATGTGTACACATGATATTTCTAGAATGTGAGTGTCTATCTATTTAAGATTTAACTTGTATAAATCTGTTCATTCATCTTTAGCTAAGTTAAATATGTTCTTTCAGTATATTTTTTAGCATGTCTATATGTGTTATATAGAAGGGTGACACAGGTATGTATTCTCTTACATTAAAATTGTTATAATAGGAAAGGACACCACTAAACTGTGCTAGTTATTGACTGTATGCACGATCTAGTCACTGCTTGGAATTGTAGATTTTTCACCATTGGTTGTCATTAAGGACAAAAATAGACTTATTTGGTCTCAGGGAAGTTGAGCCAGAAATTACTTTTCTCTAGTTTGTATTCCACCTTAGCCAGCTCTTGGGAGTATGTACATTGTATAGGCAGAGAACCTCTGTGTTTCACATATTAGTTCATATGTACAAAGGAGTAGGTGAGGGCTCCTTTGCCTGCTTTATCCATCATGCACTACAGGGGATGGGAAAGCCTGAAGGCCAATTTCCCTCCTAGACATCTGATAGCTCAATGTTCAATGACAGAGAAAATAAAATTATTTCCAGCTTAAAGCTTTGCCTGTTCCCATCTTATTAATGTATATACTGCTTTGTACCACAAATAAAATATAGCTATCATTTGACATTTGTATATTTCTTAATCATTACAAAAGGAAAGAGAGTTGGAGACTTTTAGAAAACTTTTAGATGGCCAGGTAGGATTTTGTGGTGGACAGATTCCTTTAGCGACAGGCAAAATGGCTTAGATCAGTTATAATCTTACATGGGAAAGCCTGTGGTCCCCAGGGAAGAGAACTGTTAGTACTTAAAGGACAGTATTAGTTCTGAGAATAGAATGCTGTTAAGCACTAGGTACCTACTCTCTCTAAATATATAATCATCCACAGTCTTCCTTGTCTCTTTATCAGTTCCTATGCAGACAGACAAGGTCAGTACTACCTTGAACTTCAACGCAAATAAGCACTGATTACTTTTGTCTAATACAGATACTTTTAGAATACAAAACTATTAGAAATATCTTTGTATGTAGAAATAGTATGAACTCACATAAAATTGTAAAATAATTGTTTTGCTTCTCTTCCTTTATTTTCTTTTTTTAAAATTATATTTATGTAGATTTGCAAAGGGGTTTCAGTTCAACACATCAGTTTGGGTATCATTTTTAAGCCCCGATTCCGGTAGATTTTGCACTCCTCTAAATTTTATTGGCATAAATCCAAGAAGAATAATTGTTACATAGTGATTTGATGCATTAAAAATGTAAATATTTTCATGATCCACACTTAAAATTAAAATTTAATTCATTCAAGTTTAATTCACTTACATTTAAATGATTATCTAATTATGGTATTACATGTCATATATAGACTGTTGAGCATATCTCTTTAAAGCACAATTTTATGTAAAGTATGAGCAAATCAGTGAATGCTATTGAAATGTGATTACATTTTATTCAAGGGTTTCATGCTTACTTATATACGCTAGTTGAAATTATACTGGAATGAGTATGTGAATGAAACCACATTAGTACTGTTGAATGAGATATTAAAAATATAATGTTGCACTCTTGATTTGAGATCACAGTAGCTAATATGCTATTATTTGTAGACATAAATATTAGCTAATAAGCTACTATTTGTGGACATTTGATAAACTCTTACAAAATAACATTTTACATGTATTTATTTCTCTTTTACATTTCCTTTGTGTTTACTTTTACCCAACATATAAAATTTGCACATATTTATGAGGTATTATATGATGAGTTTTTATACTTGTGCATTATGTTATGTTAAAACCAGGGTAAATGTCTCTGAATAATTTACCATTTTAGAAGTAAGTATTTCAGAAGTCCTTATTTGGAGATGTGATTGTTTGAAATAATAGTACATCATCCCTAAACTCACTAACAAAGCAATCACCGCTAGCCCTTCTTCTAATTAGAATGTAGTAATCATTCACCTACAAGAATCCAGTGTTCCTGGACTCCAGAGAACCCATTTGGTACCAACTTCCATTATATTCTCACATGGTGACAACATAGTACTGGATTTATTTTTACTATTTCTAAAAGAAATATTAACCAGAAAATTTGAAAAATTAAGGAAGACCTTAAATACTTAAGCAATTAATATCTTTTTAAAATACTATAAATGAGCAATAAACTTATATTTAACTTTCCTTTTCATTCACAGAAAAATCTCTAAGATGGCTATATTTGTTGTTCAGTGTTGCTACTCCTCATTTATGTCCATTTACTTTTGAAGTCATAATTTGACTGTAGGTAGGTCTCCTTCTACTACTGAATAGTTTCATTTGGATTTTGACAGTAATTGCTGCATGATAAAGACAGGCTGCAGCTCAAGCCAAAAGCAATGGGAAAAAGGAACTGCTGCAAGATTAAATAAACTTGCAAGTTGTTTCTACACTTTCTTGTTCCCAATGATCTACTTATTAATATGTACAGACACCCAGGTAAAACATGATTAATCTGAACTTAGGCTGGTATTTGTATACTGATTCTGAACCATTCATACAGCTTTGAATTTTCCAATGAAAATAAAGATTTGACTTGTTAGCAGTTTATCACAGTACTTAGGAATCAAATGTTGGTAAACAGTATAGCTTGGAAGGTACATGAAAGGTACAATCAGAGAAACCCACAGTCTACTTCTAGATGTAAGAAATTGACATGAAAACCTGGCCATTAAAACCTGCATTAAAAACACTATAGAAGTGACTGGGTTGAATAAATGAAATCAGTAGAAATAGGAAACTAATAGGGAATGGACTTTGAGAGGGATGAATTGTGCTTCAGGCCTCTTTTGGGCAATAGTATGCAATTGAAATGTACAGATTCCATGTATAATTGTTTTCTGAGCTTTCTAGACAAAGAATATCATAGATAGATATTTTTCTATCTACTGTAAAATATGAATAAACTTTCCTGATTGATCCCATAATCTAAAAATAACAATATCACATACAAGGAAAACATGTATCCTTTGTCTCTCTGGGCCTGACTTCCTTCACTTAATTTTTTCAGATCTTTTCTTTTCTTTACAATGGTACAATATCATTCTTTCTAATGGATGAGTAAAATTTCATTGTGTATATTTCCTACAGTTTTTTGATTCATTCATCCAACTGGGCTGATTCCATATTTTGGCTATGGTGAAGAGTCCTGCAATGGACATGGTTGTGCTGATGGTTTTATTGAATCCTGGTTTGTAATATTTTGGGTAAATGACCAAAACAAAATGTATGGATCACAGGGTGGTTTGATAGTTAATTTTTTGAGGAATGTCCACACAGCTTTCCAGAGTGGTTGAACATTCCAACCAGCAATGTATTTGAGTTCTCTTTTAGTTGAATCCTCACCAGAAAGTTATTCTTTGTTTCTTGACATTGGCCATTTAAACTGGGTGAGATGGAATTTATGTTGTTTTGATATTCATTGCCTTTATGGCCATACATATTGAGCTTTCTTCATATTTCTATTACCCATTTTACTTCTTCTTCTGAGAAGACTCTCTTTAGCTCATTTCTTCATTTATCAAAGTATTAAATGCAATGAAAACTTAATTCTAGCATATGGCTTAATAATATAATAATATTTTATAATAATGAAATTACAGAATTATATCAAATGAGGACCACACATAAGTTTGGAAATACCACAGCAAGACTCTAAGTAAATATTCCCTCTATTTTTCTTTTTAAATATTTAAGGAGAAAGAAAATATTAACTTGAAAAGTGAAATAAAGATTTCACTAAGATTGATAGAAAAGAGATTTGATTGTTGAGGACAAAACCATGGTAATCTGAGAAATGAGTTATTGCTATATTAAAAATAGATTCAGCCAGGCACTGGTGGCTCACACTTGCAAACCTAGCTACTCAATATGCTGAGATTTGAGCACTGATGTTTAAAACCAACCTGGGCGGAAAAGTCCTTGAGATTCATGTAATCAATTAATCACCAAAAATTGTGGAGATGGAGATGCGGCCCAAGTGTTAGAACACTAGCCTTGAACAAAATTCCTCTGAGACAGCACATAGGCTCTGAGTTCAAACCCCAAGACCTGTAAAAAAGAAAATAGATCCAGATTTATGAGATTCTGAGTATAACATGATAGCAAAATATAAAATTATACTGTTCATCAATATAAAAATGTTTAATATTCTAGATAGATAAGTCCATGTGGACTTTTATTAATAAGAAAAGTTACACAAATTCTATTTTTAGAATATCTTAAGTTATATATTTGCTTTTATGCCATGCAAGATTTTGTGCCATCATTGAACTATAAAATTTAGTTAGAATGACTTATGCTTTGGATTAAATCTTTCCACAGATGAGAGATGGAGAGATAAACAAAAAAAGCAATGTTTCCATGGTGAAAGACTTTGTCCTGCTGGGATTCTCTGACCTTCCAAACCTCCAAGGGTTCCTATCTGGAGTGTTTTCCATCATTTACATTATTATCCTATTTGGAAACAGTCTCATAATTGGATTAACCAGGGTGGACCCTACCCTGAAGAAACCCATGTATTTTTTCCAAGCAAATTTTTCTTGCCTGGAAATCTGTTACGTGTCAGTCACTCTGCCTAGGATTGTGGTCAGCATTTGGACACAGGATAGAACCATTTCTCTGAGGGCCTGTGCCACCCAGCTGTGCTTCTTCTTGATTCTGGGAGCCACTGAGTGCTTCCTCCTGGCTGTGATGTCCTATGACCGCTATGTGGCCATCTGCCACCCTCTCCACTATATATTAATCATGAACCCAAAGAAGTGCATTCAGCTGGCAGCTGGCTCCTGGTTCTGTGGAATTCCCATCCAAATAGGACAAACATGTCAAATATTTTCTCTGCATTTCTGTAGTTCTAACAAAATTGGCCACTTCTTCTGTGACATACCCCCCATGATCAATTTAGCCTGTGGGGACACGTCCATGCATGAATTGTCTGTCTATGTAGTAGCAATGCTGTTTGCTGTGGTTCCTTTTTCACTGATACTTGCTTCTTACAGCAAAATTATTTCCACCATTCTGAAGTTGCCAACCGCCCATGGACGGGGCAAGGCCTTCTCTACCTGTTCTTCCCACCTGTTGGTTGTGGTTTTATTTTATGGATCTGCTAGCATTACCTACTTCAGGCCAAAGTCCAGTCATTCTGCTGGAATTGATAGGTTGCTCTCTCTTTTCTACACCATCTTGACTCCTATGTTCAATCCAATGATTTACAGCCTTAGGAATAAGGATGTGATTGCAGCACTGAAAAAATTACTATTTAAAATATAGTACTGTGAATTACTTGAAACTGTTTATGTTGTCTTACATGTATCAGAGAAACTTTCTCTTTCCATCATGGCCTCACAAACACAGATGTTTCCTGATTATGATATATATATATACATATATATATATATATATATATATTTGTTACATGTAGCTATCAGCTGGAAATAGACTGGTGAGATCTATAGTGAACAAATTCATCCCTGTACAATGATCTATGCCTTAAGAAAATAATTTCTCATAATAAAATTTTACCCTGTCAACTTTTCAATGTAAATAGACTTCAAAATGTAGATATTTTAGCTTCTATTTATTTTTAAAGATACACACACACACACACACACACACACACACACATATATATATATATGATTTTATATTCCTGGGTTTTGAGATCCACTCCTTGAGTCATAAAATCCTTATTAGTTTTATTTATTTTGTTATAGTCTTGCGAATAAACTGAGATGTTTTGAACTTGTCTTGAATCTGCCCTCCTGACCCTAGCAAAATGTATGTCATAGTTGGTAGTATTATAGGATTGACCTACAAAGCCTAAGTAATAGAAAATCACATATATAGATGTTGATACCACTATTTTCTGGAGTTCTTGACTCTACAATATATGACAATTACCAATCATAGTTGGACAATGACTGTTCAGTACATGACTGAATCTGTGTGCTGATGAGTGAAAGTCATTGGTTTTACTGCTGAAAAAACTAGGAGAACAAAGAGGAAAGCATCACTAGGGAAATTCGGAAACATAAACTATGTTCAGATATAATTCTTTGCAGCATCTTTTTTTAAAGTTAATAAAATTATTTTTTATTATTGTGAAAATACCATAGAGAAGGATTACAATTACATGGGCAAGATAGTGAGTACATTTCTTATCAAGCATTGTTGCCTCCTCCTTTGTTTCCCCATACCATCCTTTCCCCTCTCCACCCCCCACACCCTGGACCACCCCCCACCCACCCCCACCCCCTACCCCGCCAAAGTTGTAAAGTTCGTTTT